CATACATACATACATACATACATACATACATAGATACATACATACATACATACATACATACATACATACATACATACATACATACATACACACACACACACACACACACACACACATACACAGACATACACACAAATATACAAAACAACAACATATACAAACCTGATTAACTGGAGATTAACGAGTCCTGGGTAGGAGAAGTGATTGCCAACAAGCGCAACGTATCCCGTCACCTCCCGTACACCATTCAAAAAACTCATATCGTACTCCGTATCCTTATGTAGGGAGGATATATCCAGGTTTCCATTCAAGTGTGTGCAATTTGTGTACGCCCGGCGATACTCCGCGTATGCCTTGTCAGCGTCTATCGTTTTGAAGGTCGCCGACGTGCATACTGTTTGGTTGGTTGGGTGGATGGATGGATGGATTGATGGATGGATGGATGGAGGGATAGAGGGATGGATGGAGGGATGGAGGAATAGATGGTTGGATGGATGGATGGTTGGATGGTTGGTTGGTTAGTTGGTTGGTTGGTTGGATGGATGGATGGATGGATGGAGGGATGGATGGATGGATGGTTGGTTGGTTGGTTGGTTGGTTGGATGGTTGGTTGGTTAAATTGTTGGTTTGATGGTTGGTTGATTGTGTGATGGTTAAATGAAAAGTGCATAAGTTAGAACGTTGGGTACTTGGTGATAATAAAAAATAATCATACTGATGTTTGTCACAATGACGATGAGGAGGTTAGTTGAAACGATGAACGAGATGATGACGAGGATGACGACGATGATGATGAACGAGATGATGATAATGGTGACGATGACGACAGTGATGGATGCATTGTCAAGGAGGGTATGTGAAAGGTTCGTGACCATTCCTGCCTCTCTAAATAATTGCATCACATCATGGCGAAGACGATGACGACGACGATATTGTTGTTGTTGATGATGATGACGATGATAATGATGATGATGATGTTGATGATAAAGATGATGAAGATGATGACAATCATGGCGATGAACGGATAAAACCTTATAAATATACAAAAGATTCATTAGCAATTTTGTAAAAACCTCATTGATAATATATCGGCTCCATCGAAGAGTAGAAAAACAAAGTCAACAAACCAACAACAACAACAAGAGCAACAACATCATCATCGTTAACATAAATAACAACGATAAAAATATGAGCTGAATTTCAGAAAATTTTGAAAAAATTTGACTGGCTGAGAAAACAATGCTTAACTGGCACCGTAAACATCAAACAACAACAACAACTACTACTACTACCACAACAATAACAAAAAGGTCAGGAAATAAAAAGCAACGACAATAATAGTAGTCGTTTTTGTTGTTGTTGATGCTATTGTTGTTGTTGTTGATTTTTTTATCATTTGACACAAAAGAACCACGCTACACAGGAAAAAAATTTCTGTGAAAATTGTCTTCTTCAATTTCTAGAACATCCATCGTCGTCGTCGTCATCATCATCTTCATCATCCTCATCATTATCATCATTATTGACACTTACGTCAAGCACAAACACACGCGCACACGCACGCACACACACACACAC